TTTCAAATTGAGCTAATTCTTCTTGCATAGCCATCACCCAATTAGGATCATTTAAACTATCATCAAGATTATTTGGTTCAATTTGAGATATAAAGGCAATGAAAGCACAAGTATTATGAGCATGAGATCTAGTAATTACCCCTTTTGATGGATCCCCAAGAATTTCATTACCTTTGACATATGATCTTTCTCTTGGGAAAGTTGGTTCTCTTAGCTCATGTGTTTGTTGCACTTCTTCATGTTTGTCTTCCTCATTTTTCTCATCTTGAGCTTCCTTGGTGTTGTCCTCCTTGAGATTTATATCTTTTATTTGTTTTCCAATGGCATCTACATCATCATCAGTACAAAACTTTCTAGAGCAAATAGGGTTAGTCTCATCAAATACCACATGAATAGATTCCTCAATAACTTTAGTACGTTTATTATACACACGGTAAGCTTTATTAGAAGTAGAGTATCCAACAAAGATGCCTTCATCACTTTTAGAATCAAATTTTCCAAGAGAGTCCTTTCCATTGTTCAAGACAAAGCATTTACAACCAAGAGCTCTAAAGTAGGAAATCTTAGGTTTTCTTCCTTTGTAAATTTCATAGGGGGTTTTATTGAGAATAGGCCTCACCATAACTCTATTCAACAAATAACAAGAGGTTGAAATGGCTTTGGCCCAAAAGGATTTTGGCAAATCATTCTCACAAATCATAGTCCTTGCCATTTCCTCAATAGTATGATTTTTCCGTTCAACCATCCCATTTTGTTGAGGAGTTCTAGGGGCTGAAAAATTATGATCAATACCATGTTCAATGCAAAAATCTTCAAAGTCATTATTTTCAAATTCCCCCCCATGATCACTTCTAATAGAAACAATAGTTAAACTTTTGGTTAAAACCCCTTTTTGGTCCCTAAACTATTGTACGGACCCCCGATTTGGTCCCTGAACTAAAACAATCCCTGATTTGGTCCCTACTGTTTACCATTTTTACCCCGATTTGGTCCTTCCGTTAAAAATCGTCCGTTAACTCACAGATATATCAAAAATTTAAGCCACGTCAGTTGTACACGTGGATAAATGATGACATAGTCATACCCAACGCAAAAACAAAAGTGGGGCCCACCAAATTACAATTTTGCATCATCTTCTTCCTCCAGCATCTTCTTTCTCGAAACTTCCTTCATTCAGACAATCAATTCAATCAAATAATCAATTCAATATCCTTCATTCACACAATCAATTCAATCAAACAATCAATTCAATATCGAACCCAACAATTCTTCATCTTAATCAAACAACCAAACCCACAAAAAAAAAAAAAAAAACAAAAATTTTTTTGCCCCCTGGATTCGAACGAACCCAGCTCTTGGGTTCTCGAAGGAACCCAGTGCCCGGATTCAAGAAGAGACCCAGCGCCTGGGTGCAAACGAAACCTAGGCGCCTGGGTTCGAGAAGAAACCCAACCTTGGGTTCGACGAACCTAGCCAACACCAGCCCTGGGTTCGACTTGGGTTCGTCGAACCCAGGGCTGGCTGGGTTCGACGAACCCAGGGCTGGGTTCAGCCAACACTAGCCCTAGGTTCGACCTGGGTTTGTCGAACCCAGGCCTGCTAGGTTCCGAGGGGAAGGAGGAAGAGAAAAGGGAAGGAGAAAGAGAAAGGGAAAGGGAAAGGAGAAAGAAAAAGAAAAAAAGAAAAAAAAATTTAAGTTTTATTTTTCATAATATTTTTTTATATTATTTTTTTTCCACATCATCACTTTTTATATTATTATATGGCATGTCATCTGGTAACTGTTAAGTAACATGCCACGTCACACAATTTTTAACGGAAGGACCAAATTGGGGTAAAAATGGTAAACAATAGGGACCAAAATCAGGGATTTTTTTAGTTGAGGGACTAAATCGAGGGTCCGTACAATAGTTTAGGGACCAAAAAGGGGTTTTAACCTAAACTTTTCTCATTTTGAAGCTTTTTATAAAGACATTTGAAAGCATCAAGTGCATCATTTTTATGTGCAAGAAAAGCAACCCATAATAGTCATCAACTACAACAAGTACATATGATTTTCCTCCAATGCTTAGAGTGCGCATAGGTCCAAACAAATCCATATGTAGTAACTCAAGAGGTCTATTTGTAGAGATGCACTTCTTAGTCTTAAAGGAAACTCTAGTTTGCTTACCCTTCATGCATGCATCACATACACTATCAATATTTACATTCACCTTAGGCAAGCCATCAACAAGATCATGCTT